TTTAGGAAACAAGTTAAGTACATTTCGATAGCAAAAATCTTGGAGTTTTTGCAGAAGTCATTGAAGCTGAATTCGTTTTCTTTCGTTTGAGCAATAGTTGCTGGAAGCGCGATCACTGCAAGCGAAAAATGGGACAAACGGGATTTTGGCTGGCTCCTAATTCCATGGTTTGATGGGTATCCAAATCATAATTCATGGCATAGGTTGGTAGAGAGTAGGGAAAGTAATGAAAACAAGAAGAGGTAGCTAATTCGCTTTTGAAATATAGTTAATCATGTTTCAAAATGGCCACTTCACTTGGGTGGCCCAATATTAGGAAACTCCAGAATACGCTAAAGGGATTCTCTGACATGATAATCACAAATATGTTACTAATTATGCTAGATAAAGCCTTTATGTCATGCTTAAGGCAGGCAAACGAAAATGAGGGGGGGGGGGGTGTATCGAGGCAGAACTTAGGGGGGGGGGAGGGTCTATCCGGCTGTTGTGTGCCACACGTCTTGCTCGACCCTGGTCATCTGCATGTTAGATAACCTCTCTGCGCATACCCGTTACGATTTTTAATTCCATACCGTATTCATATAACTCTCCTATAACAGCAGAAGTTCTATTCTAGACCATCGTATACCATAGCTCCAGAAAATGACGCTACTTTAAGAAAAAACTATTTCGGCATCAGTGGGTCAAACAATCCTTTTGGCCAATTTGGAGCGACATCCAAGACTTTGAACTTTTGGAGTCCAGTTAAATCTGACTTTTTTGTCTGCAGTGTATTATGTTCCAAAAGATAATCTGCTAATTTAAATAAAAGAGAAAGTTCAGTAAAGGTGGAAAATGCACTGCAAACCTCTGCATCCATCTATGCTACTCAAACATTTGCCTTCTGATCAGTTTACCATTAGAGGTGTGTATGAAAAGCAGCAATGAGTCCTTTCCAGTTACTCTTTTGCGGTAATTACAATCAAAACTTTCTCGAGAAAATGAAACTTTTGTAATGGTAACGTTGGCTGAATGTTATATGTCATTGAATGCAACTTACTCTCATTTCCTCAAGACTGTTGTCATTTGCTATTTATTGAGTGTCTTTGCAACAAAAGTCATTAATCCCATTTACACTGTTATTTTTATTGAAAATGAAGAGTTTCAAAAAGGTTAGACTTCGTTTTGAAAGTCCGATCAAAAGGAAGCAAAAGAGAGTGATTATCTTTATATATACTTTTCACAGTCTCTTGCAAGAATCTAGAAGAGTTTTTGAAGTTTTATAAGCAAAACAGCGCCAAAGCGATGTTTTGTAGCTCTATCGACTATCTAAGCAATCGCCGAAGAAATGGTCAAAAGTTCAAATTTCGGAGCGTAAGAGCTTTACTATAAGAAGTGTTTGTACGCTTATTTCGTATGGATCGTGGATAGAAGCACAAACTACTTACAGCGGTATATATTTGATTCCAAAAATTCAAAAATTTCGCGACCCATTCTCGGAAGGGAGGGGGAGGGACCCCGTTTGGACCGCCACTGATAGAGCCGTGCACTTAGGTGATCTTTCACTATAATCTCAAAAGAAAGCACAACCTTTAGGTCTCGTACAGAGACAGAGTTCACGCGATCTGATCGTCACGATTCAATCGCTACAGACAAGTGTTACGAGTTCATTGCATGCCGATCTTCTTGCATTTCGGTTGTGATAGTTTTTCAACACGACTAATCGTGACTAACTATCACAACCGAAATACAAGAAGATTGGCATGCAGTGAACTCGTAACATGTCTGTAGCGATTGAATCGCGAAGATCAAATTGCGTAAGCTCTGCCCGAGGCCTTGCACGCAACAAATAAAAAAAAACATCAGTGACAAAGTTTCGGATATCAAGCTCAGAATATATCAAAATGATAATGACTGAGCTCTACTCCCTCAAAACTCATATGAATTTAAGTTGCACCCTGCTTCACTTAGTAATTTGAGTTGTCGGATATTCTTAGTACACTTTTTCTTCTTTTCCGAAAAATTCTAAAAACTCCCTGAAAACCCCAAATTTGAGATCCGCTTAGGACATAGCAGGGCCTACCCAGCATGACTAGTGCCGCAAATGCATGAGTGACGAACAAGTTCGAGGGAATTGTAGACACAATCAAATTTAAAGGTTTCTTCTCTGCATATCTCTAGGCGGTATATCTTACATTGAGCACTCCGTTGCCTTTACTTCTGAGAACGAGGAGTGAACAATGCATCAAAAATATTCAAGAACTTTCCTAAATTCTTTTTTTCATGAGCATCGTGTGGGAATACAGAAAGCTTGAAGATATTTTTGATTTTGAAGACTTTTCTTGTCAAAATGTGAGTAATTGCAGAGATGGCGCACACTGTTTGAACAAACGCGTGTGGACATGTCTGTGCCATTTCGCAGAATTGCTAAATACTATAGGTATGCCTGCCTGATCACCACATTGTCCGGCCTCTCGCTTATCACCTGAAAGATTGCCAACTCATTTACAAAAATTTGAACAAAACGAAATTTTAGCCACAATCAGGCAGGCAGGCACGTTTTGCGCACGAATCGTGGATGCGGCGTTATTTACGAATAGGACTTAAACATGCTCAAACGCCGTAAACATGACATGTAGTAAAGCCTCTGTTCTTGAAAATTAGTACAAAGAGTGTGAAGAAAATTTTTGGGTGGGTAGTTTCTTTCGAACTAACGGCAGGTTTCGCCGTCAGGCCGCCGGCACTTTGACTTGACGCAAAAATTAAGATTTAAGTTCTAGGCCGCATCAAGCTTTTTTCAGGGATTTTTGAAGAAGTATGCCGCGGCGAATTTGAAGAAGCAACCATCGAAGTTTAAAGTTCTAATAAGGAAAGCTACCTAACTTAGCTCAGCCATTTGGTAAGAGACATGTATATTCTGAATCAGCTTCATACGCTGATTCCAAATATGATATTCCCAGCTGCCAAGCGCCATTTTGATGCGAGTTAGTTATATGCTTTTTCCTAGACAAAATTGGCATACTACTGAATATGAGAAGACTGCCTATAGGTAAAAATTCGCAAGAAAAAGGTGCTGAAGTATCGAAATAGTACAAATCCAATCTTTTCTCACCAAAAAAGCTTAACGCAGGTGTATCAGCACTCAAATGATGACAATGTGATGCCCGTGAGTTGATGAGCATGCCAATTTTGCGAAGGAAAAAAGGAAAAAGCCCTTAACTCGCTTCGCAATGGTGCGTGGCAGCTAGAAAGAGCATATTTGGAATTAGCGTTTGAAGCTGATTCAGACTGTATATGTCCCTTGCCAAAAGGCCGAGCTAATTTAGGTAGCTTTCCTTGTAAGATTTTCCCTATAGAAAAATAAGCAGCACAAGAGAAGATGCACGCAACTGCGAGATGGCAAGCTGCCGCCCGGCAGGTCAGAGAGCACGAGAAATGGTGTGCTCTTTTATAAAAGCAAGGTGCGGCACCTCGACGTGCCCCTACTATGTCGAGGTGCTGGCACCTTGCTGGCGGCGTTTGTAAGTTTCGGAATTACGGCATAAGACATGATTTACATCTCTGTGCCTACATTGTCGGCACTTCCTTTTCCTTACAATCATATCTTTACTCGCACTAAAGTACCGTAAAGGTCATGCCATAAGCATGGCCTGCTGTGATACCATTGAGTTACATTGCTCCGCCTGTTATCGTTAGCATTCTATCACAGCACCAACATGTGCAGGTCGCTTGTCTCAATAAAGCTCTAATGCTTTTGTGTTCTATATAACACACTCCAACAGGCGCTATTTCGCCTAAGGCTACTATAAAGCCTACGAACCAACGAGACATTTGGTGCATCGGCCAAATAAGATCGATATGTGCTTGCGCAAGAGCAGCACAACAACAACAGCAGCCTCTAACGGTATTTTTCGGCGGTGCGCGGGCGTTAAATTCTTGCACTGATCATCTGCGGCCCTAGATTTATTTGCTTGGCGACCCGCTGCAGAATGTAATCATTACGGAAAGGCCGCGGGCCTCAAATATTTTATCGGAACACCCCCTCCTCCGGCCCAAGAAAAACCACGCGGGCGAGCCTCGGCCCTTACAAGATTCCCTGCATATGTAGTTTTCGGGAAAGCCCCGAAAGCCCTCTAGGCCACGTGAACGAGGTGTGAGCGTCACCCCGTATTTCCGTGTAGATAGCGGCCCCCCATGCCAGACCGGAAGTGGAAATGGAATGGCTCAAAACCTTCTCGTACGAGTACCGGGTGCGTATCGGGCCACCCGCGGGTGCGAATCGCGAATCTATCGGACGCCTGTCGGGCCATCCGATGGTATTATTCGGGCGCTTATCGGCTGACCCGCGGGCACTGCTGGGCACTTATCGGGCACTTATCGGCGCGCCCCCGAGGTGGGCGTGGCTTCGCCCGTGGGTGGTCGGCGGGTGCTCGCCATAATTGTTTGAGTTTGCCAAACAAATTTGCGTTTATTTGTCGACCAGCAATTTCTAGTGTCAAAGTCTACCACACACGGTAGTATCGATAATACCCTCTTGCAAGCGTTGCTTGTCTGTGCTGCCTTCCTATCTTTGAAGTAAAATGTGCTCGCGTGATCTCCATGAATGCAGCCTAGAACGAGCGATGTCAAGATTCTGCGCGGGCTGCGTAGCCAAAATACTTGTGCAGATATGACTGCAGATATGACTTAGGATAACATGAAGTTATCAAAGCCTGTAACCAATCGTGAGTAACGCCGAATTTGGCGATGAGTGCCAATTTGTCGGCATCCATGATGCCGCCAGATAGAAGATTACTACCGGCCCTGACAACCTAATATCTTACGTGCCATAATAAAGAAACTTGTAACTTTATTACTTGGTGTGATGGATAATTACATAGCATGATTAACGCGAAGTACGATTGCTTGCAAAAGCACATCGATAAATCTTTAATCTCAATTTCAGGTAACGCATTCTTAATTGAATAAATGAACCCGCTGATGTTTTCATTCTTCTTTACGCTCACTGGATGCACCTTCAGACCGTGCGTCCGTCGAACAGAAAAAATATGTTGGACTTCACTTGAACACCGGTCGCCTTGGAAATCAGGTAAAAAATCTATAACAGGCTTTGCAACAATGCCCCAACTTTTCATCTCTACGTGTGGCGCATTTGTTGTTTAGCATTAAGTAAATCATGACGTGAGTCTCACTTGTAGTCACTGTTTTGCTTGATGACAGCTTTACATTCCGGTTTACAAACGATTATACGTTTGTCTGCAATTTAGTTCAGCGAGCTATCGACATGCTGATCACGAAAATAGAACCTTGCATGGTAGAGCGTTTTGTGCCTGTGGATGATTTGCGACAAATTCTTACCTTGTTAAAGAGAACAGCTAAGATATTGTGTCTAAGAAGTTGCATTATCTCACTTTGTAAAGTTCCATCAAATTTGTATTCAAGACCTTCGACATTAAATGACACCTTGGCAGCATACAGCATTGCATACAATAACTTGTTCAAGCCAGATCAAATTCCTTTCGTTCTTTTGACTAAGCCTGAAAAGTCAATTCCGTTTTTTCTTATCATCAACTAGCTGGCTTACTCGGCTCTGCCCGGCCCTGTCAAAACCCTATGATAAAGATTCCTGATAAAGGTCAAATTACCTATCACTGTACAATCTTTTGTGCCCACTTTCACGCTGCGATTTTCTATCCCGGTCATTTTCGTAATAAGCATGCCCACTTACCTTCCCCCCCCCTGTGCCAACTCCCAGCACCATAGCTCAAACCTTGCAAAAAATCGATAAAATCGATAATGTTGATGGAAAGGATCATTGATCTACTTGTATTTGGTGACGAAAATAAGAGGCCGGTTTGACCTTGCAGCGGTAGAAAAGAGGTGGAGAAGGGGAGCCGTGGGCAGAAGAGGTTCACGGGAGTTGAAATGAGCTGGCCAGAAAAAAGCCGGATCTCTCAAGTATCGGCCGAGTAGAACCCAAATGCTGACCAAGGCTTACCCTGCTGGAGGGTCAAATCGAAGGACTTTTCGTAGCCAAGTTATAGATCGTCGTTCTTGTTTATTGTTGGCCCAAGTGCCGTATTCCCTCTGCAGTCAAAATAAACTCTGTTTTATCTCTCTATGTGCTCGTCTCTCAATCATAAGATTGAAACCAATCCATATCACTAGGCACTCCCCCTGTTACAACAAAACTGATAGACAACTCTAAAACTAACATTGTATTCGTAATCAGCATGCCCAATCCAACCCTCCCCCTTCCCTATGGTAACTCCCAGACCCGTAATCCAAAACATGCAAAAAAATTCGGTTAAATCGATATTGATTGATGACGAAAAGTGGCCTACGCCGCCCCACGCAGGGGTTTAGGGGCACTTTTCTAGGCGCAGGCAGCATGCTGTGCGCTCGGACCTGCTCTGTTCTTATGGTTGGGAAGCAAGCAACCTTCCTTATCAAAATTTTGATATGTTTGGTGCCTCTAATCCACAAAGGTTCAGCGAAGATATTGATGTTCAGAAAGGAGTTTGAACGTGGTTGCAGGGCATCGGCATTGGAAACATTAACGTAAAGCGAAGTTACGTCGAAAACCCCTGCAGTCTCTACACATTCTTAATTTACATGCGTGCTACGCAGACGATCTAGAAACATAGTGGTATCAGAGAGTGCAAGGGGTACTACTTTAGCGCTGCAAATTTATAAGTCTTATCAAGGCGTAAAAGTGGATAAATGGGCAAATCAGTCTTAGGACGTAAGTTTCCATATCCAGATCTTGTTTAAGTGGCGGTATTGCCTCCTGAACTTATCCGATAATGTCACGTAAATTGTATTGTCTGCCAGGTGATTCCTTGTAATGACTATTTATCTCTTTAATAAAGCGCAATAAAGCGAAGCAATAAACTAATGCGTGTGTTGAGTGTTGAGTACCCCCCTCCCCCTTTCGCTACCTCGACGATTTCAACAATTGTGTTGTTCTGTCTCGAATGCACCCAAATTCATAACACATTGGCGGATGTTTGTTTTACTTTCAAGATGTTAATCACAATGCCCTTTGAAGATGATGCTGTACATCACAAGCAGACACATCGTTTACTTCCTTTTGGACAAGTCGCTTCTTTGTTGTGACAAGTGGCTATTTTCGAAGACTGTACCTGATTCGGACAGCACCTCAGGCCATCTAAAAGTTCCGATCATACTTTTAACTATAATTATTAAATCTTAAAGATACATTGAGTAGAGTTACTGATTAGTCGTTCAGTATTCACAACCGCAGCGTCCACTACTTTTCTTAAGCTATTACTTCGCAGGTTAAGGATAAGCTCTCCACTTCTCTATTTCGATCTCTGCCAATTGTCCTGAAAAGCAACAGCGTCTAAAGATAACCTTTTTTGCGAAAAGATGCCATAATTTTGTGCGAACAAGGATAGAATATTGGTTAGTCGTTCCATATTCAAGCCACAGCGTCATATTTACTCTTGAACAGTCTTTATTGCTAGCTTTAAAATGCGTCATCGCAAAATTGTATAGAAATTCCGTTTCTGCTTTCCCAAAATTCTTCTCGCTTTGCCAAAAGTTTTGTTGGAGTACCCTAATTTCACGCGTAAAAGGCGCACCTTTTTAATTTTTTCGACTAGGCCCCTCAGCCGCTTTAAATTATTTTGGAAAGCGATCTTTATGCCGTACGATTCCTCTTAAGCAATATACAACAAGGCATAGGGTCCTTTAGTTGCGAAGTTCTTTGGCGTATTTGGGCTGCTCGATTTTGGAAAAAAATCCTCCGCGCCTTGTATGCGTGAAATTAGGGTAACTTCCTACAATGCAAATGGCTTCGAACAAAATTTTGAGCAAGTTTTTGCCTACTTATCTAGCGTTGTGTCATTCATCAAAATTGTCGCTCCTCTATCACTAGAAATTCAGTGTCTCTTTTACTGCAAATCTACAAAATCATAGTGCTGCTCTTTCTTTACGAACGCCGAATTCCTATCCCTCTAACACTTCGTTCACTCTGAAATGCATCCTCTTTATGAAAAGAAAGTTATAGTGCCTAAGCATCTCCAAAACTTAAACTTACTAATGAAAGTTTTGTAGCCCCGTCAATAAGCAACTACTTCAGATTTGTCCTGCTTGATAGATGCTCTCAAGAAATCTCCATTATGTGAGTATCAAACAAAGAATTATCTTACTTAACCTCAGACAGCAACTGTTGTTAGTTTACAATGTGCGAGCAATTGTCATGAAAATTTCTGTTTTTTTTTCTCGTTTTGTCTTGGATTACAATCGTAACACAATTTTGAGCAGATTTTTACCTACTTCTCTAAGAATGCGTCAATCAGACTTTTTGCCTCTTTTTTTCGAATCCAGAATCGTATTGCTAAGTAAAGAGCTATAATGCTGTCTTTATCACGGAGCCCCACATTATCCCCCAGTGCTTCGTTCATTTTGAAATATATCATTTTTAGAAAAACGTTGTAATGTACAGGTAGTGCAGAGATAAAAACAATTTATAAAACCTCTGCAACTGCTTCAAAAAATGATTAAATTCTATTCTTTTTTGGAAATGCAAGAAATAAAATCCTGAATAATTTTATGAGGAAATCCTGTGTATCAGTGAAAAAAGCCATATATATTTTAGCAGAAACAGATTCAAATTAAGTCGTCGAAATTTTCGTTTCTGCCTCTTAGAAGTCTTTGCCTCACAAAGATTCATGTCTCACGACCTATTGCATTAACGATGATTTTTTGAGCAAAGTTTACTCTTTAGGGCTGTTCATCAAAAGTCCAAAAAGCCGCCAAGCGGCGCTTTAGACTGGTCCAATTTACAAGACAAAGACAATAAACTCGCCCCCTTGATCTCTAGTCGAAGCCCGCTCTACAGAAGGGTGCCTTAAGATTGGCGAAAGACGTTAAAGTAAGATATCAACAATGAAATAGTGTGCACATCATTTTGGGACACTTTGTATAATGCTTGTGTGCAAAGTGTTCAGAATCGCTTTAGAAAGTGCTTTGAAATCTTCATTCTCTCAACCTTCAACGGGAGAAGAATTACAGCAGCTATACTTACGAATGTCTGACATGGAAGCATACGCATGAATTAGTTTAAGGTCTGAAGGGTTCTGCTTCGCAAAGATTTGTTGGCTAGACTCCCCACGTGGATTAAACTTGTTGTATGAGTTCAAGGCGGTCTTAAACGGCTTGCTTTGTATTCTTAAAAGCTCCTTTCACACATTCGTATAGTCCGTCCTGTAGTGCTGATATAAAAATACAAGTAAGGCGACATTCTTTTTATTCGAACTGATTTTGAAGAAAAGGTCTTCTTGTTGTTCTTTCAAAATTAGTAAGCGTTTTTCAGCAGCCGCAGAGTAAGTAATGAATAGCAGCGGGTTGCTATTCAATAAAGAAAACGACAACAAAAAAAAACAAAAAATGGGATCCCCCTAAAATCCTGCAAACCTTCCACTTGATTATCATAAGCAGACACTCTGTAAAATGCATGAATGCTCTAGAAATTTTTGAAGTTATTTTAGAAACCAAGAAACTTGGGTAAAATCAATGAGCCTCTTTTGGGTTTTTTGCGTTAGGTGTGATTTTTTCAATGAATTATAGATTTTCATGCGTCTAGTTTTAATGGAGGTGTGTAGAATAGAACTATATGCAGTAATGATGGATTATGTCTGCAAATTCTCGGCCAATACTTTAGTGGAAGACTGCGTGTGTATTCCAGTGATGGCTGAGAAGGAAGTATGAAAAGTTTTTAGGGCTCAGATCTATTTTTTGAAGCACTCATTGACCTGAAACTTGGCTTCAAATATGATTTCGGAGGCTTTGAAAGCTTACATGAGTTACAAAATATGCAGACAATTTTTTTTTATTTTCTTATTTTGCAAATTTTCAAAATAATACAGACTGCAGAAATCAAGGCAGCTTTGTAAGGCCCCAAATTTTTTTGCGTAACTGGTGCTTTTGCACTCCTCTCTTTCTTTCATTTAGAAAAATTTTACCCGCTTTTGTTAATGGGATTTATTTGAATCAAAAATGTGCAATTCTTAAGCTCTTCCACCTGGTTTCCGGATATGGCATTGCTAGGACTATAGACAGGATACATTACTTGCCATTCGAAAATCGTAGAGCACACGTCGAAAAGTATCTAACTTACCTAGGAAATGTTTTTCCTCTCTTGAACAGAACCTACGTTCTTGCGAAGGTACGTTGCCCTTTATTTTGAATATGTATTGATCACGTGACCGTTTCACTGTAGAATAAAAAACATAGAGAATGGGGGTAAATTTTAGTAATTACTACAAATCCAGCATTTTCAGAAGGGAACCAAGCAAAGAAATATAAAATTTGCGAGAAAGTTTGATTCTTACGCTAATCCATCAAGGTTTGTGTGTCTTTAGCATAAATGCTCTTATTCTAAGCTGGCAGGATTAATCTTAAGGCTGAAAAATTTTACCGATCAGTATTTGTTGCTGGACTTTTTCTATGCCCAGAATGTCAGGTATTTTGAGAACTATGTTGCTGAGCTACGTGCTATTCTGCACTTCTCAGAAGAGATGAAATCAAATGGAAGCATCATAACACGCTCTTTGCAAAGGTAGAAGAAGACTAATCGCATTTCACTTTTTGAATAAATTACCTATTCAGTCATTCTGACTCAATGTGCCTACACGTCCGAACTACGGACTTCATTAATTTTCATTGGGCGACTGACGTGAACAAAACTGTCAAAGCTGTCAATGCACTGGCTAAGAAGAAGGTGAAAATCAAACGACGGAATGGTCGCTATACATTTTTTTAGAATATGTCAAGCTTTATACTTTTTGGAGATGATCAGCAAGTCATGATCAATATGTCACAAGTTATTATAAGAGATGGTGGATGGAAAAACGATGTGAGTCAACTGACCATTCTATGGTAGTTGTTAGTATGAACGGCATATGCTTTTAAGGCTGTGATTGTTTCGGACTATCAAGAGGCTATGGACCTGTATTTGTCATCCCAGATGTGCCGATCTTTTTTGATCTCTGCAACCATGTCAACATTTGGCTGGTGGCTTGCTTTTTTTGCAAAAGATCAAAGTGCGGTTTATTACTTGAACGTTACCCTGCCGATAGCGTACAAGCATCGAAGTGATTATTTTATGTAAGTTCAAGCTAAGTTCGTCATGATTTGAAGGTTGCTGACAAGCATTATATAATATGTCATAGTGACAGCTTAGTTTCTTTATATTAGACTGTCCCGAAAGTTCTGTCGGTTTTTTCAAACCACTGTAAAACCACGCACAATAAAGACCTGAGTGAGTTTTAACATGCATTCGATGCAGCTTTTCCTTCTCTTTCTTATGGGCACATTTTCGTACCACAATCTTGTATGCTTTTTTTGATAATTGCCAAAATTCTCCACCTGTCAATTTTACCTACCCAAATTTAGGCCAGTTTTTAAAAATTTCATTACAAAGTTTCGAAAAGGATTGAGTATGTATCGAATAGAGCAGCTCTCGGACTACAAGATGGTAGTTTTATATTCTCCTAATCTGCTGATTTTAGCTTTAAAAAATTAATTCCCTGGATGTCTCGATTTTTGACAAAGTCATGAAACACGCAACTGCAGGAAAACATGAAAGTTTTTGAAATTTCTGCGAATTGAAACTTGACCGCTAATGAGCAATAATTATTCAACATAACCAAGTTTGATTTGCTTTGAAAAATCAGCTTTTTGGAATTTTTGGTACTTTTACGTGTTCAACTTAATCAAAAAGACGTGGGTTTTATTGAATAAATAATTATAACGGACTAGCTAAACGCGGTTCATGAAATCTAAAATGGACACAATGTAGTCAAAGGTTTGCTCTGAATAACAGTTACTAGCGCTCTTTGAAAACATCAGAATAAAAAATTCTAAAATTTGGGAAAGATTTGGCGTTACTGCTGAGCTGCTCAAAAAGCCATGGCGATAACATTGCAAAGACAGGGTAGATCAGAGAGCAAGTATAATTGTAAGAAAGAGGATACAATTCTGAATCAAATGGCATCTAAGTCGTCCATGGATTGGTGTTCTGTGAGTTTTAGTGAGCGATGAAAGAAACCGACAAAACTTTCGGGACAACCTAATAATTCCTCGCTAATGCAATAGAACTGCAAGTCAACCTATAACGGTTCTACATCTCAGACAAGTAACATGAACGCTCAATAAGTATGAGCTTAAAGGCGGAGTCCACCGAAAATTCATTCTCCTCAGATTACTACTTATCCCACTGGCAGGCCCTAAAAGCAGACCAACCGCGTTGGTCCAATGTTAATGTTGCCTGAAAAGAAGATGACGGATCTGGATTATTTTTGCGCTCCGCTCACCCACGAATTGACCGATGACGTGTTCTGACATAACAAGCAACATCGAGACCAGACTGCACATACAGTGTGCAAGGCAACTCAGACACTTGCTGTAGTACCAAAAGCGACCACTGACAGGGAAAGATTACCAAATCAGCTCGGCCAATTCGGATGAGGCATAAATCGTTGTAAAGCGCTTAAAAAGCTAATTTCAAATCCGTCATTTCTAACTGCTGAACGGTTCGGTAGAAGGAGTTATGGGGGATGCTTCCCTCCGGGTCGAGGCGCCCTTCGTAGGCAACATGCCCATCTTTGCCTACGTGCGATGTAGAAGAGTATACAATGGATCTCATGATTCGTGGACCTCATTCAAAGACCACAAACAGGGTCCGGCACGCGTTGGTTCGGAGGTTTCTAGGAAACGGACCCCTAAGACTTCGCGAAAATTTACGAAGTCCCTCTCGACGTGAAAATCAGTAGGGAAAACCTTATTCAACTAAAATAGCGACAAAAAAGCGAAAAAAGCGCATTTTGAGGTATGTAATGTAACAAAAAAGCAAAAAGAAAACATTTCGATCGATTAAAGGCTCTGCCATTGGGTATAGTACCATTTTGATGCTGGGAATGTCGAGAATCTCCTAGGCCAACCAAATCTGTAGCCTCAACAATCCTGCGATGCATTTTTCGCCACATATTTCAAAGGAGACCGCAAGCGATTGGAGCGCGATATCTATCAACGCGTAGAATTATACTGCTTTTGACTCAAAAAAGGGAAGAAGCAACGGTTTGATCCGCTTTCTTCACTATATGATAGATTTTTGACCCTTCTAATCGTCCAAATCAAAAAGGTCCAAAACTTATGTGAACTCTCCGATATTTATGCTCTGAACCAACCCAGTTGGTTTGGTAGTTGGTTTAGAAACCAACAAATTCGAAAACGGATATTAGGACACATAAGTTTTAGGAACTTTTTACATAACATAGTTTGGAATAATATTGTATACCTCATAGCCCAAATTCGGAGCCATGTGATTGTTTGTGCGCTGTAAACAAGCTGTTTGTTTGTTTGAGTCTTGCATTCAAAATTCGCGCGCTTGCGAAAGAACTCGTTCAACTCGTGAAACCTGACATGTTCGTCGTGTTTTATGGCGCTTCCTCCAGGACCTCATTAAAACGATGTCCCCGTTGCTTCTAACTCCAAAAACGAAGTCCAGTTTGATCCCAAATCATCGGTGGACCCTGACCACAAAGCCATTTAGTTTGTCCTGCATGAGGGTTTGCTCGAAGAGTGTGAACATTCCGCTGTTTACTTCACTCTGTCTTCTAAAATCAAGTTTAAGAATTTTTCCTTTTACGTCTGTACATGTTAAAAATTTCTTCCTGCTCCATGAAGATTCATACTAAAAAATTCTTTCACTCATGCATTCACAGTTTTGCAATTAACGTTTTAAAACATTGTAGCTAATTTTAGTATTAAATCTTTATAAACAAAAAAATCTAAATCATGCTCAGATGCAGGGAGAAATCTCTTATACAAAAAGAAGTAAACAGCGGAATGTTCATATTCCTTGCGCAAACCTTCAGGCAGGACAAACTGAATGGCTTCGTGGTCTCTGAATGAGGTCTACGAATCATGAGGCCCATTGCATACCCTTCTGAATCGCAGATAGTCAAAAGCGGACATGCTGAAGGGCGTTTTAACCCCAGAGGGAAGCGCCCCCATAACTTCTTCTACATAACCGCTCCGCAGCTAGAAACGACGGATTTGGAACCAGCGTTCCAAGGTTCCAAGCGCTTCATGATGTTATGTGCCACATCCGGATTGGCCAAGCTGACTCGGGAACCTTTTCTTGTGAGTCAAGCACAAGCTTTGAAGACAGGTTATTGAGTGATGAACGAGCTCCATCGTGTCTTGCGAAAAACGCGTCACTTGAAAGCAAAGCAAAGCTGAGGAAATGCTTGTTCACAGCGTAGAGAAAAGGATATAATATCAAAATTGAACTGTAGGCATAGAATATTATTTACTGAAAAACTAATAAAGATTTCTGAAAACTTAAGTGAAGTAATGCAAACCGTTTCCAGACAGCCACCAGTGATCTAAGATCGTTTGAAGCATATATTTTTGTAAGTTTACATAAGTTCTGAATTTTTCCATCATGAACGGATTCCCCGGTCAAAAATCTCATCCTGGGCATAAAGACATTCATGCCATTGCCTCTGCTTTGTGCAGTGCAGATAAGTGAATTCTGAAGAATTTACATCTAGAGCTGTTGTTCAGAATGAGTTGAAAAGTAGTACAAGTTTTGAATCACTAACGGCTACAATGCATTCTTTCACGATGATGCATATAATTTACTCCGATGGCCATCTCGGAGAGAAGCGTTTTGTAGTATTACAGTTATGCGAGTGTGGCAATATCACGAACATCGAACTGCTACAACAACAGACACTGAAGGGAATTTTTTCCGAGAGTGGGCACTTCCAAGCTGATAAAATTTATAAGTAGAGACGAACCTCTTTTTTTGAAGCAGCTCGACCACACATTGTGTGTCGCAAAGTGCTAGCTTTCCTATACATTTCTTTGAGCAGGGGGCAACACAATCCTTTGGTCTCAAAATTTTTTAATGTGTTCAGAGTGGTCATTGTAGCATGACGCTAGCCTAGCTTTTGAACTCTGAAACGTGAAAAACGACCATCATACAATCTGTAACTTATTAGCACATAATGAGGCTAGAGGAGAAGAAAAAGCACTGCAAATGTCATGATTTACAGCAGCAAACAGCCAAAAATTGAAGCACTCTAGCGGCGGCTGCAGTTGTTGCGGTCGTGAAGCCGATCGCACTAGCGGCCACTGCGGCACTAGCCGCAGCAATCGTAAAGAGCGGATTTAGTCTGACTGAATCACTCAACTGTTTTTGGACAAGCGCCGGAAATCTTCCTCCGTTATTTTACTTGCTCAAAGTCTCACTAACCAAATAATCCAAAGCGACCAAGATGTAAAAGGTTTACATTAGTTATTGTTGCAAGCGCTTTGATTTAAAGACTGTAGGAAAAATATTTAGCATTGTATTGGGTTGTTGCATAAGTTCTGTCCGATTTTTTTTGCCCTATGTTTAAAGCAGCTGTTCTAAGACAACATCTCTAATGCGGTATTGTTAGTATCATTAAAAAGTGCTTTTCTTGCGCTTTCTAAACCATATCAAATTTCAATAAATTCCTTAGTAGGAGATTTCAGGCCTAAAATCTCCAAGTGGCCGAGGTACGTTCTCACCATAGAAAAGCGTTCTTGCGAGGAAATCTCCGCAGTGCGCTTCAAGTCAAGCTTTTTAAATGGTTGCGGAATGAGTGTAATAGGCATACGCATAAGTTCAGTTTCATGAAGTAAACGTCTTGCTAGTAAAATTTACTGTCAAATATTGATTTTCTGTATTGATGCTTTACAAGCTATAACTTTTTGCGATTAGAAATGATCGACGACTTCAAAGTTAGAAGTGCTAGGGTAAAGCAAGTGTTAGCAGATACCATTCACCAATTTCTCTTCGGCGCTCACGTCAATTGTAAAACTTTTATAATTTGTAAAGAGGCATGCACACTTGTGCTGAAGCGAGGTCACTAAGTGGCTAACTTTTTTTCGGTCAAAAAAATTTCCCGATGATGCAGACCCTATGGGCTCCTTTATGGTGCGAAATAATCTCCGAAAAATGCAAGATGCCTATTGATTCTCATAAGGGAGCACAAAAAAAACAGGTTTGAAGAAAATGGAGTTTTTGAGTTCTTGCTTCTTCCTTAACACGGATTTTCGCAGGTTTCAATATGT